CCAACCAAGTCGACGCTCTGAGCCGGCGAAGAAGTAAACAGTCGACCGTCACTCGAGTCTCTCTGTCAGCTTTCGTGGAACAATGTCGCGGGGAACGAGTGCCGGTTTCGATCGCCATATTACTATATTCTCGCCGGAAGGAAGGCTTTATCAAGTCGGTGAGTGTGTTAGGGGACTTTGGGAATAAGGAAGGGTTATGGTGGAATGAAGGAGGGAAGGTAAAGTGTTGTGAGGATTTTGGTATAGGCCGAGGCGATTCGCACCGTCTCTCTGTCTCTCAAGCACCGTGTCCCGCAAGGACGTTGGCGATCATGGCCCTCCACCTCTTCCGGTCCCTTGATGTTTTCAAAAGTTCCTGCTCCGATACTCTCGTCCACCTGCTTATGCTTTCTGTATATGTTAGTCTTTGTCTGCCCCTGCTTCATCTTCCATTGATCTTGCCTGTTACACTAAGGTGTTCTAGTGACTCTATATAAAGTTATAAAGTGGCACATTGTTATCCGCACCGCCACGGTGCGGATAAGTAAACTTGCGGGGTTATTCGTACCGTCACGTTGTGAATTAGTCAATTTTCAGTGTTATTCGTACCGTAACGGTTTGGTTACCGTTAACGTCATTTACCCTACAGAATCAAGTTCCCAACCCAACCTAGGAGGCCACCGTGTTGCACACAGCGGCAGGGTGTAGCTCTCTAAAATGGAAAAAATATGTCTATTACCGGCATAATTGTTATAAAACATGTTAAACATCACCTTATCAATCACTAGATAAAATATATGACAATTAGTAGGCAATTAATTACGCACGAACCTGGGAAAAGGCAAGCGGAATGGACAAAATCAAAATGGCAACAAGAATGAAGCTCTCCCATTGGTCGATTACCACGGTACGAATAAGATAGAAACAAGGACAATCCGCACCGTCACGGTACGAATAGCCAGTGTGTTTGGTATATTTTGGGTTGAATTTTTTTTGTTTCTCGTCGATTGCTTTACGATTCACTAAAAGGGAAATTGTCATCGAAGGTGGTTGTGTTTTTGATTGATAGTGTTTATTGGAGTCATTTAGGTAATTATGTCAATTTTTTGTTTACAGATCAGTTGGAAGCATTTACAGTATCATTGCTGTAACTAAGCAATTATCCAAGATATTTTTTTTAGTTCTTTACTGTCTATGTGTAATAGATTGATCGTACGTTTTTCAAATCGTTTGAAACCAGCGAATTTACTAGCCAACTAAGTAGGAAATGAGACTTTTCTGCTGTTTCATGGTTGGGAAGGCAATGATATTTGTTACATGTTGCTGGAGTGCTAAGTAGCCGTTATATCACGTTTTCATCTACAGCCATTTTCAGTTGAATATAAAAGATGGAGTTTCTGGTACTTACTGAGGGTAGAACTGTGGTAGGGGAGAGGAAACCTTGCGAAAGATAGGGGGTGAGACTGCTGTTTGTGCATCTGGTATGCAAGGTGCGGCGACAGTGTAGGAACCAATGGCAGCTTTTCCCTTTAGAGTGTGAATGGAAAATGTTTGTTGATCTCATTGAAGTGCCATAAGGCATGGAGGTAGCTATCATTGCCATGCTGACAATATGCCATTTGGATAAGTAAACTGGGTAATTCTTTACGGTACACACTCTCACTAGGGGCATGCCCCAACACCCTCTGGCAAGAAAGACCTGAAACTTGGGAGCACTGAGTATAGTGCTACATGACCTTAGATGTCTAGCTTATTTATCTTGCTTTTTAACCATTAATCATTAACCATTGAGAGCACTGAGTGGACTCAGGCTGTGGATAGTTCTTTTCACAATCTTTTTACCTTTATTTGTGATGTTGCTGTTCATTTCTGCAGATTATTTCTTGCACCAATGACTGCATCTTTTAGTCCTTTACATAAATATAATCTTCAATTTGCCCCAACTTATTGTATCCATACCATAAAGAATCCTGTATATTTATGACTCTGGAGCAATACGCCCTCCAGACAAAGTCCCAAAACCAGGGTATCATGCGAACCCAAAAATTCAAAGCTAATCTTTCCTACTTTGTATCAATCCATAGACTGGGGGGGCAAGTCCTCCCTGTACTTCCCCCCTTTAGTAGCACTTTATGCCAACTGCCGCAACAGTTTTGTATAGAAAACACAAGAACTCTGGTTATGTGAGGGTGTTGTGTACTTAGTCAGTGAACGATGATATGCTGTGGATATTTTTATAATTTTGTGGTAAATATGAGGTCACTTGTGGATAACCATCAATTCTATATGAGATTAAGTATTTATCACTATGTAAAAGCAACTTTGAAATTTGACTTTGCTATTTAAAAAAAGCATGGTAAAGCTTGAAGCAAGTATGGAAATTGAGCAAAACTAAGATAAGCCTTTTTTTTTTTTTTTTTTTTTTTTTTTTTTTTTTTTTTTTTTTTTTTTTTTTTTTTTTTTTTTTTTTTTTTTTTTTTTTTTTTTTTTTTTTTTTTTTTTTTTTTTTTTTTTTTTTTTTTTTTTTTTTTTTTTTTTTTTTTTTTTTTTTTTTTTTTTTTTTTTTTTTTTTTTTTTTTTTTTTTTTTTTTTTTTTTTTTTTTTTTTTTTTTTTTTTTTTTTTTTTTTTTTTTTTTTTTTTTTTTTTTTTTTTTTTTTTTTTTTTTTTTTTTTTTTTTTTTTTTTTTTTTTTTTTTTTTTTTTTTTTTTTTTTTTTTTTTTTTTTTTTTTTTTTTTTTTTTTTTTTTTTTTTTTTTTTTTTTTTTTTTTTTTTTTTTTTTTTTTTTTTTTTTTTTTTTTTTTTTTTTTTTTTTTTTTTTTTTTTTTTTTTTTTTTTTTTTTTTTTTTTTTTTTTTTTTTTTTTTTTTTTTTTTTTTTTTTTTTTTTTTTTTTTTTTTTTTTTTTTTTTTTTTTTTTTTTTTTTTTTTTTTTTTTTTTTTTTTTTTTTTTTTTTTTTTTTTTTTTTTTTTTTTTTTTTTTTTTTTTTTTTTTTTTTTTTTTTTTTTTTTTTTTTTTTTTTTTTTTTTTTTTTTTTTTTTTTTTTTTTTTTTTTTTTTTTTTTTTTTTTTTTTTTTTTTTTTTTTTTTTTTTTTTTTTTTTTTTTTTTTTTTTTTTTTTTTTTTTTTTTTTTTTTTTTTTTTTTTTTTTTTTTTTTTTTTTTTTTTTTTTTTTTTTTTTTTTTTTTTTTTTTTTTTTTTTTTTTTTTTTTTTTTTTTTTTTTTTTTTTTTTTTTTTTTTTTTTTTTTTTTTTTTTTTTTTTTTTTTTTTTTTTTTTTTTTTTTTTTTTTTTTTTTTTTTTTTTTTTTTTTTTTTTTTTTTTTTTTTTTTTTTTTTTTTTTTTTTTTTTTTTTTTTTTTTTTTTTTTTTTTTTTTTTTTTTTTTTTTTTTTTTTTTTTTTTTTTTTTTTTTTTTTTTTTTTTTTTTTTTTTTTTTTTTTTTTTTTTTTTTTTTTTTTTTTTTTTTTTTTTTTTTTTTTTTTTTTTTTTTTTTTTTTTTTTTTTTTTTTTTTTTTTTTTTTTTTTTTTTTTTTTTTTTTTTTTTTTTTTTTTTTTTTTTTTTTTTTTTTTTTTTTTTTTTTTTTTTTTTTTTTTTTTTTTTTTTTTTTTTTTTTTTTTTTTTTTTTTTTTTTTTTTTTTTTTTTTTTTTTTTTTTTTTTTTTTTTTTTTTTTTTTTTTTTTTTTTTTTTTTTTTTTTTTTTTTTTTTTTTTTTTTTTTTTTTTTTTTTTTTTTTTTTTTTTTTTTTTTTTTTTTTTTTTTTTTTTTTTTTTTTTTTTTTTTTTTTTTTTTTTTTTTTTTTTTTTTTTTTTTTTTTTTTTTTTTTTTTTTTTTTTTTTTTTTTTTTTTTTTTTTTTTTTTTTTTTTTTTTTTTTTTTTTTTTTTTTTTTTTTTTTTTTTTTTTTTTTTTTTTTTTTTTTTTTTTTTTTTTTTTTTTTTTTTTTTTTTTTTTTTTTTTTTTTTTTTTTTTTTTTTTTTTTTTTTTTTTTTTTTTTTTTTTTTTTTTTTTTTTTTTTTTTTTTTTTTTTTTTTTTTTTTTTTTTTTTTTTTTTTTTTTTTTTTTTTTTTTTTTTTTTTTTTTTTTTTTTTTTTTTTTTTTTTTTTTTTTTTTTTTTTTTTTTTTTTTTTTTTTTTTTTTTTTTTTTTTTTTTTTTTTTTTTTTTTTTTTTTTTTTTTTTTTTTTTTTTTTTTTTTTTTTTTTTTTTTTTTTTTTTTTTTTTTTTTTTTTTTTTTTTTTTTTTTTTTTTTTTTTTTTTTTTTTTTTTTTTTTTTTTTTTTTTTTTTTTTTTTTTTTTTTTTTTTTTTTTTTTTTTTTTTTTTTTTTTTTTTTTTTTTTTTTTTTTTTTTTTTTTTTTTTTTTTTTTTTTTTTTTTTTTTTTTTTTTTTTTTTTTTTTTTTTTTTTTTTTTTTTTTTTTTTTTTTTTTTTTTTTTTTTTTTTTTTTTTTTTGTCCTCTACAAGAATATCATCTTCAATTTGCTCCAGGTTATTGTATCCATACTGTATAGATTAACCTTCTAAAATACTGTATGCCTGCAGTAACCACACACCATTCCCTCCATGACATGTGCAAGATATTTTGTAAACCACCCATGTGACTTGCCATTAAATAAAGAAACTGTCCAAGCTCATTGTTGACAGATATAAGAGGAGATTAGTTGGCTTTTGACAGAACATTGAAATCACGGAGGGACAAATAGATACATTTCTGGGTTCGAGAAAAAGGAACAGGAATGTACGTGGCTTGCAATTTTATTAAATATTTTGTTTATTTTATTAAATTGTAAATTTGTTTGTTCTCAGAAAAGATGACAAATCCTTGAATTAGCAGAACTCTGAAGAAGAAATTATGGAATATTTTGTGTAGTCTTTTAACCCATTTGCACTGGGTACGGTGAGATGGTAGAACCACCCTTGACATCTTCGCCTTATGCCTGCTCAAAGTTGTGCACTTGTTTAGCCCAGGCAAAATTACTTGCAAGATTGTTTATGCCGCAGCCAGGAGTATAGAGAGCAGAGTAATTTTGTGTTTCCTGTGCTTTTATTCATTCCCTTGAGTATCTGACTCCGCATGCACCCACACATGTTGGTCGGTATGGGGGCCTCCTGTTGTGATTGGGTTAGTTATGAGAAAATGTAGTTTTAAAGTCTGAAAAGGAAATTTTCCATTTGTTTTCTCATTTTAAGTGTTTCTCATATTAGTTGAACCTGACGACACCACCCAGTGTCTGGGGATAAATTTTCGTGATACTTAGTTTTAGCTTTTATATTTTATTCTTCGTATTAGGATTGAACCAGCTATGATAATATGATTAATCCACTGACTCTGTGGTGGCAAGAAAATATGCCATTTCCACTATGAGTTTAGTTTATTGATTGTTTACACATAGGTGGCTCAAGATGCTTAGTCATCAAGAACTCAATTACAAGTCTTACTAGTCTCATATCTACCTTGTTCCTTCATATTGATTTTTTTTAAGAAGTTAGTATTGTTAATAATATTATAATAATCACAATGTCAATAATAATAATAGTGTTGCTATTAATAATAATAATAATTTTTAAAAAATCCATTACTGAAGGAAATGGGAAATCAGATGATCACATAGGCCTGCTAATTGACTCCTTGGTGGCAGAACACCTGTGGAGCCATCTGTGCAAACTGAATCCGTAAACCAAAGCAGTGAGTTAAGAAAGCATATGAAATGTTTTTGAGAAAGCTTAGGAAGTATTTTCGTTTGCAATCGCTGGTTATTTGTATTCCTCTAACTCTCCTCTTTCTCCCTCTTTCAATGTGTATGCAAATTGTGATCATAAAACAATATGATACTTTGTTAATGGTTGTTTTTTATGATATTTTTCTTCTAGTTTTTATATGAGTGTATTGTACAGGAAGAGAGATAAAATTATTCATCTCTCTCCAGAATATGCCTTCAAGGCCATCAACCAGGGTGGACAGACTTCAGTAGCCTGCAAAGGCGAGGACACTGCTGTTTGCGTAACCCAGAAGAAGGTCCCTGTAAGTGTTCTACATTTTCTAAATAATTTCGTTTGTTATATATATATTTTTTTTTCTTATGAGTGAATTTAAAGTATATATGTTGGATAGTTTTACTGTTTCTTTCTGAGTGCTCACTCCTCACACCACATTATTTCATCATCAAAAGATATGATTGTTTTTTTCCGCTGGAGCCAGAAATCTTGGCCTTAGTTTTGATGATTTCTTTGGTTTGCCTTGTTAACCCCTTGGTGCCGGGTATGACGTGTACATACGTGCTATGCCCACCGTGAGTACTTGTTTGATTGTTTTTATGCATAGATGGCAACACTTGTACTAACTCCCCAATGAGCCAGTTACGAGCACCGCCCGTCTCGCCCGTTTACCCGTTTCTTTGATTTACGAAATATTTTACGTTATCTTATTTTGCTGTTACTAGACCCAGTTACAGTGACCCACATGTACCAGCTGACGGACAACTTGGGTTGCGTCATGACTGGCATGCAACGTGAGTATCCCGTTGCTTAGCGTTTGTTTGCACAGTCATCTTGTTAATATGAAAGGGTGAAAAGTTTATAATCATGAAGAATGTCAGATATTGAACGTAGGATAACAGGAAAAATTTTGTTTTTTTAGATTACCTGTTATTGCTGTTAGATTATGAAATATGCAAAGCAGTTTTTTGTGATAATAATTGTATTGCTTAGAATTTGCTTTGTATAACTGTATATTATAATCCACAAGATAGCACAAAAATAAATTAAAAGGGAAGAATTTTTTTTTTTTCTAACTCTCATACTCATTTATTTTATTTACAACATTAATTAATGCCATATATGCAATTTTCTCTCTGTAGCTGACAGCAGCTACCAGGTGATGGTGGCCCAGCATGAGGCCAACAACTACAAGTACAAGTATGGCTACGACATCCCAATTGATGTTTAAAAAACATTATAAAAATTATAATGTTTATGATGAAAATGACACCATCGATTTTCATAGCACTAGTGAAAAATACGTTTTTCCCGCCATTTAAATCAGGCGCTAGCAGAGCCATCTATCGGCAGACATTTAACAAAAAACATAGAAAGTGGGCACAATATTTTCCCCATTTTTTGTTCATTTTCCCCGGCACCATTGGGTTAAAGAAATACTTGTACTTAGATAGGTAAAGTACTTACATATACTTATATTTGTACTAAAAATGTACTTTTTTATGATGAAATCAAACCAAGGTAATATTTACATTTCTATTTCTTCCAGGATAAGCTGATTGACCCAGTTACAGTGACCCACATGTACCAGCTGACGGACAACTTGGGTTGCGTCATGACTGGCATGCAACGTGAGTATCCCGTTGCTTAGCGTTTGTTTGCACAGTCATCTTGTTAATATGAAAGGGTGAAAAGTTTATAATCATGAAGAATGTCAGATATTGAACGTAGGATAACAGGAAAAATTTTGTTTTTTTAGATTACCTGTTATTGCTGTTAGATTATGAAATATGCAAAGCAGTTTTTTGTGATAATAATTGTATTGCTTAGAATTTACTTTGTATAACTGTATATTATAATCCACAAGATAGCACAAAAATAAATTAAAAGGGAAGAAATTTTTTTTTCTAACTCTCGTATTCATTTATTTTATTTGCAACATTAATTAATGCCATATATGCAATTTTCTCTCTGTAGCTGACAGCAGCTACCAGGTGATGGTGGCCCAGCATGAGGCCAACAACTACAAGTACAAGTATGGCTACGACATCCCAATTGATGTCCTCTGCCGACGCATTGCCGACATCAACCAGGTCTACACTCAGAATGCTGAGATGCGCCCTTTAGGATGCTGTAAGTACCTGTCAGTCTGTCTCTCTTGTCTTTCTTACTGTCCTTCCGTCACTCTTGATATTAACCCATTGCCATCGGGGATGGCATGTACGTACATGCCATGCCCACTGTGAGTCGACTTGTTTGATTGTTTTCACACACAGAAGGCTACACTTGTATTAAGTCACCAATGAGCCAATTACAGTACTGCCTGTCTCGCCCGTTCACCCTTTTCATCTTTTATGAAAATATTAAATGTTATCCTAATTTTCTGTGAAAAACAACATCATCTATATTTATAGTACTAGTAAGAATACGTTATTTCCTGCCAATTCAAGGAAAGGTGAAATCAGGACTAGCAGAGCCATCTATGTACAGAGATATTTCACAAAAATATAAAAAATGAGTACAGCATTTTCCCCGTTTTTTGTTCATTTTCCCCGGGTTTAGGGTCTTTGTTACAGTAAAGCTTGACAGTATTGAGGCATTTTCATATTATTCTGTTTTCAGAATTTCCAATATTATGAAATTATGATTGAGCATTATATAACTTGTTTTCCTTTTATTCTCTTTACAGGCATGATACTTATAGGCTATGATGATGAACTTGGACCCTGTGTTTACAAGACAGATCCTGCAGGCTACTACTGTGGGAACCGCGCTTGCTCTGCTGGGGTCAAACAGACAGAGGCTAACAGCTTCTTAGAAAAGAAGTGAGTGGGTTTACTAGGTAGTTGATTTATAAATGTTCGCCTACGGTTTATGGAAACAAAGAGTTGTAGTTTTGTTTGCCTTAAACATAGTTGTTGATAATTTAAGTCATTGTAGTATATAGCCAGTGAAGTGGAGGAAGATCCTTGTAAAGTTGAATTTCTGTGTTTGTGCAATTGAGAACTTGCAGATCTTAAGTTATTTACTGTAGATTATTGGGAAATGCATTCTTCATGAAGTAGGTGTATAAAACACAACAAAAAAACTAAGTACAATAGAATGAGAGACAAGAACCCAACTCTTCTTTGTTCTAGTAACCATGTTGTTGTTTTTCTGGTTAATATCTTCCAAGTATGCATGCTAACAAATGCTACTTTGTAATAGATTTGAAAATTCTATTATCTGCTTTTGATTCGGTGATTGATACACCTTTGCTTTTGACTCACTGATCCTTAAACCACTGCATTCAACTTTCCAGGTATCGCAAAAAGACAAATTACTCCCATGACGAGACCGTCCAGATGGCCATTACTTGCCTTATGACTGTCCTGTCAGCAGATTTCAAACCCACAGAAATTGAGGTCGCTGTCGTGTCAAAAGAGGAACCAAAGTTTAGGTAAGGAATTTATCTGGCTTTTTATTCAATCAGTGTTTCTTGGTTCAGAAAAGTATAAGATAGGATAGAAGTCTTGCAGTTACCTAAATGTGGTTGATAATGTCTCAGTATAAGAAGGGACAATTTGGTGGATAAATAGTATTAAATGACAGTAAGGGATGAAACTTGTTAATGTTGGAAAGTCAAATACAATTCTGTAAAAGGGAATTCTTATTGCTGTAGTTTTTGGTGTATATATATGTATATTAAACTTTGATTTTATCTCTTTATAATACAGAACCCAACATAGAAAAGATATTGGTAATATAGAGTAAAAGAAAGAGAATGAGGAATAGAAAATAAAAGTAATTTTAATGAATAATAGGTCACAATTAATTTAAAAACATTTTAACTCCTTGCAGGACTTTGTCTGAGCAAGAAATCGACTACCACCTGAGTGCCATTGCTGAGAGAGACTAAAGAAACCTCAGCTGGTGTTTTTTTTTCCTTTTTTTTTAATAAGTAAAACTAAGGATCCATCAACTAAGAGAGCCTCTGTAAGGATGCACATTAAGAACATACAGGTACATTGAGTCTAGAAGAAAAGCTCCTTGGAAATAAGTAGATATTGATATTATTGATTTTGTATTTCAAATCAAAACACAAGTTTGTAAGATCTGCTATTCTGTAAACAGAAAGTGTCATTTTGGAGAATATACGTTTTGTTCATTTCCAAATGATATTAAATTTTATTGTCTGATTTATGAATGAAGCAATATGGTCCCAGAGTTTGGTGTATTTTTCTTCTGACTGCAACAGTCGCCAGATGTATCCTACTGAAAATCCTTCAGAGAGTAAGAGGAAGTTACAGGAGTTTGGTTTAGGTTGCTTCAGGAAGGCTCCCAGTGACAGTGTGTGTAGTATGTTCTCAACCACTGCTTAACTTTTTATAAATGAAAATATTGTAATGGTACACTTGAATTAAAAGTGCTTCAGAAATACTGTTTGTTTCATAATTGGTAACCTGGAAAAAAAATACAACTTATATCACTTGCATATTATCATAGTGATTTATTGTGATTGCCATTCTTAATATAAATTTGATTTTGAAATCCTGGATTTCCTTTTTAAGAAAAATGTTGCTTTGCTCTTAAGGAAAGAAAGAAAAAGCAGTAGTTTTCAACAATATATTTGTGATGATACATGGCTATGAATATGAACTGGAGTGAAGACAAAATATAGATAAATACAGTGACTAGAGAGTCCTCTTATTTTATATATCAGCTTTTATATATTTTGATACAGTTTACAGGGTGTGGAAGTGTGTTTCCAGTGTGCTCAGTAATTCCTTTGAGTCAACATGAGCTGGAAAAACTTGCAGTGCTTTCTGTACAATGATGTAACTTGTCTGTAGATCTCCAGTCTGCAAAAGAAAAGTAATTATTGTTCATGTAGCCCTGTACATATTGCTGCTTCATATTTTTGCATATTTTTTTACAAGTACTATATACAGCATTATTAATGTAAAACTATTAGGTATTATTTTCCATGAGATTAAAATATGTATACTTAAAAACAGCTACAGTCAAGGAAACAAAATGCCAAAAATGTGTGTGGAAGGCATCACTAGGCATGTAATTGATAAGGACATGTTTCAGTCAGTTTCACTTCCACAAAGAATATTAAGTGCACTAAGCTCTTCTAGAAATTTGTTATCTCCAACTATGCAAAATATGTGAAAATTTACCCTAGAAGGGCAGCAGAGTTCACAGTTTCTTGTGTGTATCTACTTCACTATATAATTATTGACAAATTATTTTATATTCAAATAATTATAAAGTGGATAATTTGTGCTTGTGCCTTGTTTTATCATTGGTTGACACATACCTGTGAATGCCAATTGCTATATTCATCCATTAAAGGTTAATGATATCTTTATCAAGTATTTTCTTTGGTTTGATGATGGTCACATAAAGGACACATTATGGCATTTGCTATTCGCAGGTAAATGTGGACACAATGAAAACCCGCATCTTTAAAAAGGTCTAAATTATCCACATATTTATCCAAGTGAGAACAGTTTGAGCATAAAAGTATAATTAAAACCATATTATTTTTATCAAAATAATTGTTGCCATTATCAATAAAGTTTCACTTTAAGTCATACCTTATGAGCAAGTTTGGAATGGTTAAAATGAGGCTGGAACATGTGAGGGGCTAAAGTAGCAGAGGTCATGAAGAAAGCACGAGCAGTGTCGTAGTTCCCCCGTCGGTATTCCAAAACGCCCAGGTTATTGTAGGATTCACCGTGGTCATTATTGGCCACTAGAGCCAGGCGGAAGCACTGGTATGCCAGGTTGATATCGCCAATGCCCTGGAGAGTGTTTAATTGAATTAGATGTCGAGATGTAAATGTTTAAGTATATACAATTACTTGGATACTTCTATGAAGTACATCTCTCTAAACTTTTTTTGTTTATAGGAACATACAAGCATAATGAAAGACATTGTGATTAAAAACAATTACTTATACATACTAATGCAATGTGGCCTAGATTGTACCAAACATCTGCAACACTCTCATCAGTTGCAAGGCTCAATGCCCGCTCAAAGCAAGTGAGAGTCATGTCATATTGTTGGGCATAGAAGCAGCACAAGCCCAAGTTGTTGAATATTTCACAGTTGTAGATACCCATCTGTAGCAGTCGCCTGGGAATGGAGAAGGAAATAAGGAAATTTGGAAAATATACTGGAAACAAGTTGAATTATAATGTAATACAATACATAGCATAGTTCTTAAATAGGTGTTAGTGAGCATGAGAGACATCAAATATTTCTTGAAAGATAATTATCCATAGAAATGTTAAGGAAATCATTCCATATCTAACTTTGGTATTTTATAAAAATACTTTCAAGAGTAATATTTGGCTTGTGAACGTCACTCACAATTTTTATAAACATCATAATACTTACCTATAAAACCTCAAGGCTACTTCAGGCTGATCGGTGTAAAAGTGGTTGGTTCCAATACATGCAATGGCCTCAACATGTGTAGCATCATAATGCAGGACATCTTTGTAAAACTTCACAGCTTTTGTCAGGTCATGCAAGCCTTCATAAATCCTTCATTGGGGAAAAAAAATTTTACAAAGGTAACATGAAAATACACAAATCTATAACAATAATATTAATTGGTATAGTGTTATATTGTCAAATACTGCTTTGCAAGAAATAACCGAATAAAATTTCCAAACCTTGCTATAGCAGTAAGTAAAGTTACTTCGCCAGGGAATTTGTCAAGCCCACTCTTATAAATCTCAAGAGCTGCCATTGGCTGGTCTAAACGGATGTACACTCGACCAAGGAGGAGAAAGGTGTTAATATTGTCTTGCTGTTGCAAGGCAGACTGTAACATATAAAAGAATTACAGTGCTTGAAACTATATTCTGAATCGTACCTATCATTGGGGACTAATTTAAAATTCATGTGATGAAATATTGAAAAATATACAATATAATACTCATTCATCATACCCAACACAATATATTAAGATGCAATAGCACAAAAACTCACTTTAAATTGTTTTTCAGCATCACGAAACAAACCGAGCCTGTAGTAGCAACGTCCGAGCTGTACCTTCCACCACCAGTCCTTGAATTCTTGTGCTTGTGTGGCTTGAGCTGCCAAATCCAATGCCTGTTGATGGGGGAAAAGTTGTCATGAGTAGGGATATCACAGTCCTGTACTAGACTGGAGATGTCATGTTTTTCAGTCTTTACATTACTGCCTACAAGATCAAAGAGAAAGAATGATGTAGGGAAGCTGGAGATAATTTTTAGACAATACATCTAGTTACACACTTTAAATGATTGTTGTCAGGGATGGCAAGTATGTGAGTTTAGTTTATTGTATTTACATGAAAGTGGCTCCATTAGTACTGTTTTCTTTGATTTTCAGAAATATTAATTTTATTCTATATTGCAATTAGTAGTTTTATAACATATGATATTAATAACAATAATAACAGTATCTATATTAACAGCATTAGAAAATAAGCAATTTTTCAAAGAAAAGAGAAATCAAGCAAGATTCCATTGCCTATTAATTTCCTATTTGGTGGCTGAGGACGTGCAGTGATCTATGTGTAAAGACAATTCACAAAACAAAACTGTGGTGAACAATACCTGCTCCTGGCATCATTAGGTTAAGTGTATTATAGAAAAACTAATTCATTTCTATACTCACATGCCTTACATCATTCTCATGATAATATATATACTCAAATAAAGCCTTTGCAATATTTGGTTGGCTTGCATATTTGGCAACATTCAACCGAGCTAAGTTGATGAAAGGACCCTCTCCTGAAGGCAACATAGATGCTGTCCCTAGGCGCACATGTCGTCCTGAAGAAATGTAAATTCAATATTTAGTAAAAGTGATGCAGGATATTCACTTGTTTTGAGCTTAGAAGAGTAGAAAGGAAATTTCAGACCCAGGCAGAAGTTAAGGAAATAACTTTAGAAAGCATAAAGGTATTTTATAGCTAATGTGTTCTGTTATGGAGGTATTATACTAACAAATTTGAGAAAATCTGTGAAATATATTATACAAAAACATACATCAGGGTATCTCTGTATTTATGTAAGATATATTATTTAGTAATTTTATAAATAAACGTAAATGAGTGTCATAACCACAGAATACCTTTTGGCAGTTAAAGATATATATTCAAAAAGTGATGTATCCTCTCAGAAAATAATGTCCATATGAGAAAATTAAAGGAAGAATGCATACACCTACAAAAAGTAAAGGAATGCTACAGTTCTCAATTTTCTGCAGAGTGCACGCAACACAAACCAGAAGCTGCAGAGACAGGACGAGCTGTCTGGGCTGTCCTTGGGGTGCGTAAAGCTTGGTCCATTGTGCCTGGCCGTCCTCCCTGCGATCCTGGACGTACCACTCCACTCAAAGGCCGTCCTGATTGTGTGGCAGGTCTACCATGTTGACACAGACAGAATGTATGACATGTAATACACACATGTTACTAGTGAAAAACATTAAATCCACATTCCCTTTAATGTTCTCAGGAAATGTCAAAATCATATAATGAAATGTACATGAATATTACAGATTACCAAATACATAATGTCAACCTGAAAGCTTGAGATGGTCCACTATTGCCGCCAGCAGATGATGGTGGAGCAGTGCGAAGGGATGTTCCTGGCCGTGCCACCGAAGCAATGGTGTTGTCGTCCATTAATACATCCGCTAAACCTTCCTCTTCTCCATCACACTCGTCCACCCAAACCTCTTCCGTTAATGCTCGTGTCTTTAGGCTCCATACAGCCTACCATGAAGATTTTTTTTTGTAAATTTTGATACTTATTATCTTTTTTATTAAACTGGTGGATTAGATAGTGTTTTACTAATGACATATAGTAAATAAATATGACATTTCTCCTTGATGGATCATACAATATTTTCTTGGGTCCCATTATGTACACTTATATTGTATTTCCTTTTGATTTTTTTTGCTGTACATCTTTTTCTGTATGTGATCATATAAACTTCATTATTTATAGAATTACATTCACATCTAGAAACATAATTATAACCAATCCATAACAATGTATTATGGTCATATCTTCATTACCAATACTTTGCAACGAATTTCCTTTATTTCTTTTCTTTGAATAACTATGGATTCTAGACATACAAATAAGTAATTTAGTGAATTACTGTCTTGATTACTCCAAACAATATATTACTAAGAAAAGCAAAACATTAAATAAAAAAAAGCAAATAGAATATATAAAAAAAAAAAAACTGCAATAGGTCAATTAGCACATATATATCTCTGCTCACCTGATCATAGGGATTAGTAGATAAGAGATTCGTACATATTTCAATACATTTTTCGAATTTCCGTCTTCTAAAAGCACTTAAGGCCAAATATAATGGATCCATGTTGTGAGCCTCGGAACAACTATACGTCAAGTTGCATTTTCAGCCGAAGTATTTGTTTACGTTAGTTGCTATGGTAACGGAAATTCATTCATAAAACACGATAAATGCATTTTTTTTTACAAATGATTTCCCAGTATACATAATGAAAAGAATAAATAAAATAAAAATTATTTATATTCGGAAAGTATATTTGCATTATGGTAATTGAGAAGAAGAAGAAGAAGAAGAAAAAAAGAAAGTGAAAATACAAATATTTATGTGAAAGTTCACTAATACGATAACCACAGATGAGGTAGTTTTTTTGTAGACGATTTTTTTAAGTAGAAATATTATACAGGGAATAGAATAAACAACCAAACGCGTAAGTAAATGTATGCGATAGAGGAATGCTATTTTTCCCTTTCTTAATATATTGTTCAGTGGTTCTCTCCTTGTTTTATATTTTTATATTCTGTTTATCATTATGGGTACGAGAGGTTAAACGTAGATACGTACTTTTTGTACAATATCTTGTAGATAATTTGAAACTGTATAAATATTTATTTCCAAATGCAGCAACAGACCAAACTACAATAGTAACTATAACATATATATGCGAAATTAATAAATTATCAAAACTTATAATAGAGAAAAATAGAGTAAGTACAACAAAAAAACGACTATAGGAAAAAATATTAGACCCGTAGTCCTTCGGTTGTCAAACATCAACAATGGCGGAACAGGCAGAGGCAATGCGGGCCACCGTAGCTTCAATGCTCAGGGGCATTGAGAGGTATGAGAGGATAAATATTAACACAAAAGTTATGAAAGATTGTTTCCATTAATTTGAGAAGGAAGCTGCGCTCGGGGGAGTGGTAGGAATTGGAAATATCTCGCGTGTAGTGTTGCCCCGCCAGATGTCGGCCCGGCGGGGGTTTTCGGTCGGATATATCCACTTTTTGAAGAGAATATTTCTGATATAGGGTTTTAATATTAGAGTCTTGCGTATCCAGGAGGTTATTATTTATATTATGATCCCGTGTACGATGCTAATAATGGCTTGCGTAGGGCCAGTTCTACCCACCTACGGTAGTTTCTTTAGAGCTGGCCTTGATGCTCAAGAATAGGACAAATATTTTACCTTTTTTTTTTTGTTTAGTTTTTATGGAATAGTTTTAGTTTCACACAGCCATCTAACCAAGCAATTAGTTTTTCTTGTTTCAATTATTTACGGTGTAATATTCATACAGATATTTTCCATCTTAAGTGATTTAAGTGAAAGTAATGGTAATTTTTCATGGAGTTACCATACCACTCTGAGACTTATTGTTCCAATAAGACCCCCACCCTATTTTAATGTATTTCTAACGAACTCCCTTGACCCCCACCTGATTGCCATGAATGGGCTCCATGCGATATTTGTTGTGACCTGTTTTCTTACCCTGTGCTGATTATTTCATGTATCAGTGGTTGTACTTACTAGATTTTCCCTAGATTTGCCCAAGCATAGTGTAGTCACTTACTAAATGTATACCAGAGTATTACATGTTGCCTGTTGTATTAATATCAACGTGCTAAGGAAGTACCATAGGCAAAAAGTTTTGTTTTTTCGTCCTGATTATTAGTTGCAGTGTGATTAAGGTGATTATGTTCCTTTAGTATTTAGGAAGGAGCTTTTGCAGTATTTCTATCAATCATTGAGTGTGGAATGTAATGTCTGTAAGCCATGCTTGAAAGAGTGCTGGCTCTAGGGGGATGCTATTTCCATGCTGAGTATCCTATTCCTGCCCACCATGACCAGCGGCGCAGTTGTATTGCAGAAAATTGAATAGTATGAAAAAATGTTAATTATTATTATTGTTATTGCACTGTTATACTCTGGAATTTGTGCAAGGAAAACAGTCCATTACCATCTGGATGAAGCAAATCAAATGACAAATATAAACATTGAAAAATAGCAAAGAAAGCTAAAAAACAATGTGTATGCCAGGCCTACAAGCTACATACACAACTGGGTGTCCACTCACATGAGACTAATGCCAATATTTTGGGCCACATGATAGCAGGGAAGCAGCTGGATGCAAGGGGTTAATTAACCAATAATATTTTTCCTCAAGGCTTTGTGAACCAGTGGTTGGGAACCCGAGTTTTAGAGGAAAGCACAGATAAAAAAGGTAAATTTCAGTAACAAAGTTATACTGTATTATAGAGGCTGCAGTTTTGCCAAGCCAATTTTGTGCTGTATGACTGCTATCATTTGCAAATCAAAGGCCTAAACAGTTGCTGGTTTACTTGGATTTTTTTTCTTGTTTTCTGGTTTGTTATGTGCTAATGATCATATATATCTCTTCTGTTGGTTAAAGAGTAAAGTCATCTCTCTCCTTCCACTTTTTTCCTCTTTTGAAAGTTGTAGAAATCAGGGTGGCTACTCAGTCCACCACACAAGAAAGTACAAATAATGCTGAAAAAAGGGCTCTAACTCACTGGATCCGGAAGCTTCACTGTCATCACGGCAAGACTCTATGCCTCCCATTTGCAATGTTATTTTCTCTTTTCCTGCACAAGTGTTTTAACATTATTGCCATTTTCATGTCTATATTTGACATTTGATTTGCTTTATCCAGGTGGTAATAGACTATTTTCCATGCACAGACTCCTTATTCTCTCCCTAGATATTCCAGAGCTGAGTTAAATAATAACAATAAGTAACACTGTTATTTTCTTATTTTATTCAAGACATTCAATTTTCTGTAATACAACCTGTGCCAAATGTCACAGCAAGCAGGAATAAGATCCTGAACATGGAAATGGTGTCCTTCCTGGAGCCAGCACTCTTCCAGTCACGGGTCACAGATGGTACATTCCATACTTGTTATTTGATGGGACTATGTAAAGCCCTTCCTAGATGTCCATCGAGTCTAATCACTTCCCAAGAGCTTTGTGCACTTATGGTGAGTCATTCCCATTCACCTCGGCCTTCAGTTAAAATTTCCTGTGACTGCATGTTCACATCACCTGCCCCTCAGGTCAATTTTTTCATGATGTGATAGTCATGGCATCAAGATCTAAGGGATTAATGACAGATATTTTCAGATGTAAAATTATTTGATCCCCTCCTTCTTTTCTTTCAATTTTAGATAGCATATATAAATATATATAAATATATATAAATATATATGAATATATATGAATATATATGAATATATATGAATATATATAAATATATATAAATATATATAAATATATATAAATATATATGAATATATATGAATATATATGAATATATATGAATATATATGAATATATATGAATATATATGAATATATATGAATATATATGAATATATATGAATATATATAAATATATATGAATATATATAAATATATATAAATATATATAAATATATATAAATATATATAAATATATATAAATATATATAAATATATATAAATATATATAAATATATATAAATATATATAAATATATATAAATATATATGAATATATATAAATATATATAAATATATATGAATATATATGAATATATATAAATATGTATAAATATATATAAATATATATAAATATATATGAATATATATGAATATATATATGAATATATATGAATATATATGAATATATATGAATATATATGAATATGAATATATATGAATATATATGAATATATATGAATATATATGAATATGAATATATATGAATATATATGAATATATATAAATATATATAAATATATATAAATATATAAATATATATAAATATATTTATATATTTATATATTTATATATTTATATATTTATATATTTATATATATTTATATATATTTATATATATTTATATATATTTATATATATTTATATATATTTATATATATTTATATATATTTATATATATTTATATATATTTATATATATATATATATATATATATATATATATATATATATATATATATATATATATATATATATATATATATATATATAATATATATAAATATATATACATATATATAAATATATATACATATATATACATATATATAAATATATATAAATATATATAAATATATATAAATATATATAAATATATATATATAAATATATATAAATATATATAAATATATATATATAAATATATATAAATATATATAAATATATATAAATATATATAAATATATATAAATATATATAAATATATATAAATAAATATATATATATATATATATATATATATATATATATATATATATATATATATATATATATATATATATATATATATATATAGTTGTATTACTTATTATTTGTATTACTTCCTTATTGTGCATACTCTTTTATTGATTATTATTTCTCTTCCCTTTCTCTCCAGATACAACCCTGAAAACATCTCAACCCTGGAGAGATATGTGGAGCTGCAGGCACGCGAGAACACCTACGACCTGGAGGCCAACCTGGCTCTGCTGAAGCTGTACCAGTTCAACCCCGGCACCTACCAGCTGGGCGTCGCCTGCCAGATCCTCATGAAGGCCCTCACCAACCTGCCCCACACGGACTTCGTTCTGTGCAAGTGCCTCCTCGGCCAGGACCAGGTGGGTGTTGCGCTGCTTTATTTAGTCTGTGTTATGTATCGGCAATTGGGATTTGAGGAATTAGATTTGGTATTGTGTGAGTTGTATGTGATGGGGGTTGAACTAGGAACAGAGAGTATGGGTAATTTTGTCCTAGAAATTCATATGACTGTTTTTTTTTTTTTTTTAGGGGTTTGTACATTGTTTTAATATTAGCTGAATCATATATATTATGATTACCCTTACTGAAAGAGAACAAGTTTCCTTGCAAATATAAAGTACTGATTGGTTACAGGAAAACAGATATCTTCTATTTTCTCTTTGAATTTACATAGAACTGCTTCTCTCTTGCCAGATGGAAGACGATAACATCAAGCGCATCATGTACCTGCACGACTTGCTGGAGATGTGCCAGTTCAGCACTTTCTGGGAGGAGAAGCACCAATATGCTGACCTGGTGGGTGCCTTGTTGATTTTCTTTCGTTTCTTTCTCTTTCTTTCTGTTGATTTTTATTCCATAATTATTATTATTATTATTATTCAGCTGGTATTTATTGTTATATATATTTTTTATTGGTATTAAATCCTACCGTCTGTTTTTATTGTCACAATGTCATACTTTTTCAAATCAGCATTAACTCCTTGCTTTTTGAATGCTACTATGTTTTTTTTGTGCTAGATCTGCTCTTTGTTCTACTCTTCTTTCATTCATAGCATTTCAAAATCCATTTAAATTTCACTCTTTTTTTCTTCTCCTCCTTTACTTCCTCTAAGTTCTCTTCCAGTTCATCTTCCATGTTCTTTACCATCACCCTCCTCCTCTTCTTCCTTCCTCCCTCCTACTACTTCTCTTCCTTTATCATTCTTATCATCATCTTCATACTTATCATCATCCTAATCTTCATCCTTATCTCATCATCCTTATAATCTTCATTTTCATTTTTATCATCATCCATCCTTTGTCACCTCCTCCTCCACTTATCCACCATTTTCTTCTTCATAGTGCGGTGTTTTGCCTGTTCCCATAAGAATTATAAGTTGAATAAATTAAATTAATTCAAATATTCACTGCAGGTCACAGGAGTAAAGGACTTCAGCGACAGCATACGCAAGTACATCTGCCACGTCATCGGCATAACGTACCAGCACATTGAGAAGCACGTCCTAGCCCAGCTGCTCGGCAATATTGATGGTATGTTTGTGAGGTTTTAACCATGGAATGGAATGGAATGAGGTTTAGTATTTTATTTTTATGTATTATATTGTGTGTATGTGTTATCATTTCTGCATGTCACTATTTTTGAGTGAATGGACGGTTTGGGCTCAGATGTTGAAGCAGCTACAAAAGTGTTTTATATTCTGTACAGGCTAGGGGGCTGTATTTCTTGTGTGTTCTATGTTCAGAAACTTATTTTATTCTCTTCTCAAGAAGTTTTATTTAGTCTTCCTGTATTTATTGGGAAAACGAATGTCATATGCATATTGGTTTCCAGTTCCAGGATTTGTTTTCAGACCTCTACTATGTCTGCTTAGTCAAGAACTATAATAACCTCTCTAACTGTGAACTCTCCTCTCTTCTCCGACCAGAACAAACCCTCCAGGTGTGGATGAATAAGTACGGCTGGAAGGAGGTGGAAAGCAACCTGGTGCTCATTGCCAATCAAGAAGAGACTGTCAAGACCAAGAACATTACTGAAAAGATTGAGTTCGATTCTGTGGCAGGCATCATGGCCGCCTGTAGATAAAAGATGTGAAATGACGTAAAAAAAGAAACTTTTGTTACAGTGAACATTCTGAAAAATAAATGATTATTGAAAGTGGTTTGTTGGTTTCTTTTTTCTGATACCATTAGGTGTCATTATGAAACATGTAAATTGCCATGACTTTCTCAGTACATTTCTTGTAATTAACTCAGTCGCACAGTCACTCACTCATTTTATATTTTATTTTTTATTTGTTCTCTCCCACTTCCACACACATACACAGGCACACATGTTCATACATACATATATAAATATACACACACATGAACACACACATACATACATGTTTAGAGGCATGTACATATACATACATGTTTAGAGGCATGTACATATACATACATGTTTAGAGGCATGTACATATACATACATGTTTAGAGGCATGTACATATACATACATGTTTAGAGGCATGTACATATACATACATGTTTAGAGGCATGTACATATACATACATGTTTAGAGGCATGTACATATACATACATGTTTAGAGGCATGTACATATACATACATGTTTAGAGGCATGTACATATACATACATGTTTAGAGGCATGTACATATACATACATGTTTAGAGCATGTACATATACATACATGTTTAGAGGCATGTACATATACATACATGTTAGAGGCATGTACATATACATACATGTTTAGAGCATGTACATATACATACATGTTTAGAGGCATGTACATATACATACATGTTTAGAGCATGTACATATACATACATGTTTAGAGCATGTACATATACATACATGTTAGAGGCATGTACATATACATACATGTTTAGAGGCATGTACATATACATACATGTTAGAGGCATGTACATATACATACATGTTTAGAGCATGTACATATACATACATGTTTAGAGCATGTACATATACATACATGTTTAGAGCATGTACATATACATACATGTTAGAGGCATGTACATATACATACATGTTAGAGGCATGTACATATACATACATGTTTAGAGCATGTACATATACATACATGTTAGAGGCATGTACATATACATACATGTTAGAGGCATGTACATATACATACATGTTATATTCATATACATACATTTTAGAGGCATGTACATATACATACATGTTTAGAGGCATGTACATATACATACATGTTTAGAGGCATGTACATATACATACATGTTTAGAGGCATGTACATATACATACATGTTTAGAGGCATGTACATATACATACATGTTTAGAGGCATGTACATATACATACATGTTTAGAGGCATGTACATATACATACATGTTTAGAGGCATGTACATAAGGCCTTTTTAGTAACATATTCAAAACCCCTAACTCACTGATACACACTGATACATGTTTGCTATTTGCACATACTTTATTGGAACCTGTTGAAACATCCTTTTAGTTTATATCAAAGTGTATGCCTTGACCTTGATATGGTTTGATACACTACACAGGTAGCCAATCAGAGTGCAATATTTTTCATATGCATTTCACATAGTCTCAGCTCAGGCTCTATTTATTTATTTATTTATTTAAAATTTTCTGCCACATCAACATCTAAGGTCATTAATAGCATATTCAAAATAGGGGGATAGTGTAAGGCTTGGGGGGGCAAAAAAAACCCATGTGAAGTGCTATTTGATACCAAAATCCATATGGCACTACGGTAAATTAAAGTAGTGAAAAGGGTCAGGGACAAGTTAATGATTAGGGTAAAGTTACAGGTTGAGCAGTACTAGAGGGTAGTATGGTAGGGAAAAAGGATGGAGAGTTGTAGCTGATGATTTATAGTATAAGGTAATGGTTATTTTAAGGGGAAGGAGTTAAGGGAGTAGGAAGCATTATGGTAAAATCTTATGGCGAAAAGGGCAAAGATGAGTTAAACAATTAGGATAAGTGGACAGAACAAGGGGAAGTAGAAAAGGAAGAGAAGAAAAGACCATGCAGAAGTAGCTGAGGCGAGAACTGAGGACCTTGGCAGGGGTGTTCTGTTACATTGGTTCTCAGTCCCCATCTCCTACCCCCCCCCCCCACGACAACAACGAGCAAAGGATTGGGGGATGGGGAGGAGTAGGTCTCTATATTTTTATTAATTACGAACCAAAACGAAAACTTTAATGTAAAGGTGCATAAAATGTTTCTGTGCCTTTTTAACAGTACACTAAATGCATGTTCACTCTATATGGGTACGATTTGATTCAAAATCATTTTGTACGTCTATGATATAACCTTGCTGGTTAAAAAACTATCAAAGAATAGAATGTATACCTTGATTTGTTTGATAGAATTCAATCAAAAAGTCAAATAAATTATTTGGACACGGAACTTGCTCGCAGTGAATACGTTAAGATGCAAAACCTTATGCAACTTACACTTATATGAAGAACAATGTATGTTATATGGACAAAATATTTTGACTGAAGCCGAAATATACATTGAAACTTTCCACAGCCTTGTGAAGCAAAGAGTGGTGTGTGTAAACAATACAAGTTGCAGAGTAGTCAGGTATTTTTTCCATTTTATTTTAAACTTCCACAAGGTTTTGCTTGTAATTAAAAATCATACCAGCATATTGAGTACTCTAATAGTTTTTGATTGACTTTATGTGAAAATACTTACTTTTCCTTTTTTCAAAACTTTATGTCGGTACAAACTTCGATGCTGTGCGTTTTGTAGCGACTGTAATAGAACTTGAAACAGTGTATCAAAGTGAAGGGGTCTCGGGATGCTACAAAATATGCCTATGCACACATAGATACCCCTGCTCATACACACGTACACGCACTCACTCACACACTCATCCTCTCTCTCACTCTTTCTCTCATTCTCATTCTCTCTCTCTCATTTCCCCTTTCTCATTGTCTCTCAGTCACTCACACACACACTTCCATTCACACGCAGTCTCTCTTTCATGATACACTTACTCACTCACGATGTACTCACTCATTCACTCAGTCCACACTCGTTCTTGCTGTCAAATTCTCTCACCCAGTTTATCATTATCGCTTGCTCTCTCACTCATTCACTCGCACTACCCCTGACTCCTACCTTTACTCGCTCTCACTCAAATTCTCCAAATTCATTTACCAAATATATTTCAAGATTTCAGATACATTATTACACATTTTGAAGATTTCAAGTGTAAGATTTCATATTAAGAGAGTAAACAAGTCCTTAAAAGGGGTTTAAAAAGTAACTGGTTTATCAGGATCATCGAGTTGACAGTCGAGTAGCTTCAGTTACCTGATCCACGCAGTTCTTCCATGTAATACACAGCTCTGTAACATTGTTTTGTTGTGATTCTTTTGAAGTTATGGGCAAAGTTACGTGAACAAAGAGGGCGAAACAAAGGCAAGGAAATGTGTAAAAAAAGACAGGAAATTGCGAGGTTGGGACATCCGTGATGGTGATGGGGCAACATTGCATCATGATGATGAAAATGATGTTTTGAATAAATGATAATGCCCTAGTTTGAATGATTACATTATAAACTCCCTAGATCATCGTGACCATGATAATTGATGGTAGTGGTGACGCTGTGATAGTGATGATGATGATGGCGGTGGTGATGATGACGGCGAATGATGGCAATGGTGATGTTGACTGAAGATGATGCTGGAGAGTGATTATGAGAATGATAAAAAAACTAATTCCTCCACTGCTATTTATAATGAGAATGCCACAATTATTTTCTAAGACCTGAAGAGGGAAATTCAGCAGTGACCTACTTTTTAGGGGAGTTTATGCAAATTCTACACATGTCATTGTTTCCACATTCAGCTTTATTATGTACACACAACGCCGATACCAAATAACCATGGTATCGATCACATACAGAGTACAAGGGCTATTTTAGAACTGAAAAATGTGGTGGTATCATCTTTGGAGGGAAGTGATCAGAAATGGGATGTAAAAAAAAATCACATTAATTGCCAGCACATTTCTGTTTCACACTAAAAATCTTCCAGTTCATGACGGTATCAGCAAGCATTTCTAATGTTCAGCTACAAGAAGTTAACAACTGACAGTCGAACATTAAAGAAAAAAAAAGTATACCCCAACAATCTTTAGCGTCAGATAAAATGATATCTGACATGGTTCAAACATATCAGAATATATTAATAATGACTAACATGTTTATGGATACAAAAATATTGTAAGTTTTAAAGATTTCACTGAAACAATTTATACTGTCAACATTCACTGAAATAAAAGTAGCATATATTAATGTAAATACGATGATGGTATACAACTATTGATCACAGGTTCGTGTTCTGCAGTATGCTGTGTTAAAAAGCGTCACTCGCTGGTGCTTCGTACTGACATAAGGTTTTTATCTAGAAGGCAAATCTGTGTGATATATACTAATAAATCTGTTAACAACTCGTGCACACTTTCAAGAAACAATTATCATTAAAAATATATGGATATAAAATATGCATGAAAAGTTAGCAATAAACAAAAATAAACTTTCATTATATATAAAAAAAAACGATTAATACAACAGCACTTAATACAACTTTACCCACCACAATGAATTTGCAGCATTGAAAGAAACACTCTCTTTCATAACAAATGTAAAATCAAATATATATCCTCACACACAATCACTTACAAAAGCACCAATCTGCCAACCATTCACAATGTCACATCGCCTTGTTTTTTATTACCCATGTGATATTCAAACGTCATGGCAAGCACCAACATATAACCTGGGTGAGGCGTTTTGTATTGAAACCACCTCGAAGGAGAGTAGTCCTTTCACCGACACTAGATCACGTGGTCTAGGTCACGTGGTCTCCCTACAGCGCGACCACCCGTTCGACTCCATGGCCTTGCACCGGAAGATAACACTTAAGTTGTACGTTTGGCATCGAGTCCATTCTTCGAAGTTTTCCCCGGGTATTTCACAACAATTATGCAGGTAAATATTTTCATGAATGTCACTCCCATTCATATGCGTTTTCTTCGCCGTTTTATCAATATAAAATAGCTATATTTTCTGTTTTGGAAGAACGGAAAAAACTCCATTAGCACCTCCTTAGTTCATAAGGTACGCAAAGAGCACATATTCAGAATAGGCTTTCTCATATTTACAAAACCTGTAAACAGTTTACTGATTACGTTCTTACATTTATTTGACTTAGATTCAGAGGGAAAGCAATCTACCTTTACACGCAATGCCTCCTTCATACAGACAGTGAATATCACACGAAAAGTTCCGTCGGAGAGATTAGGAAAGAAAATATCACAACCAATTCTTATTCTTAAGGCAGCGGTTTCTTTGTCTTTTTCTTCTTCTCTGATTCTCACGAAATCTCTCGAATCCATAACCAACAATTACAAATAATCTTCATGTTTACGCGAAAGTTGTTTATAGAGTTGTTTACGCCCCTCGTTTCATCAAGGGAACTTGAAGCGGCCGACGGGCATGAACGCGCGCAGATGCTCCTCGTTCCTGGCTACGTTGTAACCCCACAGCTTGAGGGCCTTGTGGCACGCCTTCTGGATCCTCTCCACTTCCGCCCACGCGAGGTCGGTCTTCCAGTGGATGGGCGCCGTCTTGGAGTCCCTGAAGGTGCTGGACACGCCCCCGATGGTCTGCTTGGTGTGCGTGTCGAGGAAGGACTGCACGCGAGGGTGGTAGCTCAGGTGGAAGAAGTCGAAGAGTTCCTTTGTCATGTTGTAGGCGTCGAACGATAAGTCTTCATAGCGGACGGCTCTGAGGCAAAAGGAAATTTTATAATCTATCAGAAAAAAATGAGATTCTGCAACTCCATTTTCAAGTAATTTTGAAGTGAAACATTATACAATTATTCTGCAATATCATTACGCGATGAATTGGTAAAATTGCATTCACACGAACATGAGTTTCATTGCTCTGATTAAACATAAATAGACTGAATCTGATGACACATCACACGCGTGTAAGAACCAACTGAACTAATATCACTGGAAACATGCTTATTAAAAACGCAAAGAAAAAAACTTTATAAATACTTCTAAATAAATAAACGAATGAGGGCTACATAAAAAATATGTATCCTAACGCAAATTCTTATACACATTTACATGTAAATAGGATAACCATGCATAAGATACGAGCCCAAATTATTATTGAAACCCCGTACCAAAAGCTATCGTCATTTTACTCTGTTGATAAATTCGTTTACATTTTCCTTTTATTAATTTTATCTTTTAATTACTTTGATTTAATTACGTTCAGTTTCCAGATAAATCAAATGTTAATAATTTTTATTCATATGTACTGGTTGGGTTATATGAAACTACAGATATTCATACTGGGAAGACAAACATATAAATATACATATAGATGTAGTATTACAGTTCTCACACTAATGATTTCAGCTCGCTTACCTACTTTAACGCACTTTCAATATTCAAAAAATATGACAGAACAAGCTTTCTCAGCACCCACTCACCTAAAGGAATGCGGAAACTTTCTTCTTAGAACCAGAGCCGTGTTGTAGTCGCTGACGAGGTCGCCGCAGAGCCTGGCCGGGTCGTCGCAGTCAGGCTCCCCCGGACACCAGTCTCGGTGGCGCCGCGACTGCATCGTGCCCCTCGGGTCCCGGACCAGAAGCAGCACCTGCACGCCCAACCTGCAGAAGGAAACGCGCTGTGCAGTGCTACGGCAAAGGGGGGAGGGGAGTGGGAGTGGGAGTGGGAGTGGGAGTGGGAGTGGGAGTGGGAGTGGGAGTGGGAGTGGGAGTGGGAGTGGGAGTGGGAGGGGGAGGGGAGGGGGCGGGCAGAACGGAACTGTGGTGTTGATTTTGAAAGATAAAGACCACAGGTCGGAAATGACATCGGGGAAGCTAATCGGTGTAAATGTTCTGATATTGAAATTGCCGTCTCATTTATCCGATAACCTTCAATGATAAACTGCGTTGCTTTATATTCTGTCGCCTCACCTTGCTTTGCGTGTTGTGGCGCATATGAATTCTACCGAATCTCGGGACTTCAATTGTGTTTTTCTCTCTCGACTTCCTCTGACAGCGAGCGGCGAGGAAGAGCTTTCAGAACACATTTACCCATCTATAAACAATTACCAGGCTATAAACACCATTACCAGACACTATTCCACAAAGCGAAGCCCGGACGTGACAGCATGACCGCCTTTGCTCAGTCATCGTTCCACGTGACAGCCGGGCGCAGCCAACACTTACTTCTTGTCCTGCAACAGTTCCTGCGTGAGGTTGAGCCTGAGGCGCACCGTCTTGAGGGACTGGAAGGGGAAGAGGCTGCAGAAGGGCGACAGGAACTCGGGCTTCCAGCACAGGTCGGGGAAGGCCTGGCACTGGCTCCACAGCACCTGGTTATGCGTGAACAGCCACGGGTGGTCGGGCCCGAAGTCCAGGTAGTGCTCTGCCGGAAACAAGAGTTGCGGGTGACGTGTAATTTCGAAAGATACGGATGTGGGATTTCGTATTCAGATTTTAATCCGCGCTTTTCGTCTGTCTGTATGTTTGTCTGTGCATGTCTCCTTTATCTGTCTGTCTGTATGTTTGTCTGTGCATGTTTTGTGTTTATCTGTCTGTCTGTATGTTTGTCTGTGCATGTCTGTTTATCTGTCTGCCTGTCTCTATTCATCAGACCGTCTGCCTCTGTCTTTGCTGATCTACCAATCTGCCTCTGCCTGTTTCTCTCTCTCTCTGCCCCTATCTTCATCTCTCCCTCCCTTCCTCCCTCCCTCTCCCTCTCTCCCTTTCCCTCTCTCCCCCCCCTCCCACCTCCCCCCCTCTCTCCCTCTCCCTCTCCCACAAGTATACCCACCAAAGGCACTCAACACTCACCCATTTCGCTGTAATCGCAGGTGAGAAGGTGCCTCAGGTTGTGCAGCGCCTGAGTCGCGTCCTGGCCGTAGCGCACCTGGTTGATGCCGAAATCCAGAAGAGGCTCATAATGGTAGTAGGTGCCAGGATGACTCTGCAGAACGTCGCCTGCGGGAACACGAGGGGGGGAGTTAGGATGGCCAGACCGACGAAGATAAAAGTGATGATGGGGGTTGATATAGTGGTAGTAATGATGAGGGTAAAATAATATTAATAATGATAATAAAATAATATTAGTTATGATGATACTAAAAAAATATTAATAATGATGATAAATAATATTATTAATGGTGATAATAAAAACTATTAGTAATAATGATAATAAAAACTATTAGTAATGATGATAATAAAATAATATTAGTAATGATGATAATAAAAACTATTAGTAATGATGATAATAAAAAATATTAGTAATGATGATAATAAAAAATATTAGTAACGATGATAATAAAATAATATTAGTAATGATGATACTAAAAAATATTGGTAATGATGATAATAAAATAATATTAGTGATGATGATGATAAAAAATATTAGTAATGATGATAATAAAAAAAAATTATTAGTAAGGATGATAATAAAATATTAGTAATGATGATACTAAAAAAATATTGGTATTGATGATAATAAAATAATATTAGTAATGGTGCTAATAAAATAATATTATTAATGATGGTAATAAAACAATGATAGTAATATAAAAATATAATAATAATAGTAATGATGATGATGAAATAATGGAAAAAATATAGTAATATAAAGAGATAATGATAATAGTGATGATGAGGGTGATATAATGGTAGTAACAAAGATATAATAATATTAGTAACGTTAATGATAATATGATATAATAGTAACAGCAATATACAATTATGATAATGATGGTGATAACAGTAATAATAAAAGTAGTAATGATAATAATAATAATAATAATAATAATAATAATAATAATAATAAGAATGATAATAATAATAATAATAATTATTATTATTATCATTATAATAATAACAATAATAGTAAAAATAATAATAAATCAACAATCCACACAAAAAACAAACATACTCAAAATTAAATTATAATAAAAAAAACACACCCAATCAAAAATTCCAATTTTCCAAAAATCAGAAAAAGAAAGAAAAAAAGAAAAAGAAAAAAGAAAACCAAAGAAAAGAAAAGAGAAAACAAGAAAAGAAAAGAAAAAAGAAAACCAAGGAGAAGAAAATAGAAAACAAGAAAAGAAAAGAAAAAAAGAGAAGAAAATACAAGAAAAATCAAGAAAAATCAAGAAAAAAAATATAGAAAACACGAAAACAGAAAAAAAAAAAAAAAACTGCTTACATCTCCCACGCACGAACTGAATTGGTATGTATATCTCGTCTACAAATTCATAAGTAGGACGTGCTCCCTCCCTCCTTCCTTCCCTCCTTTCCCTCCATCCCTCTCCTTCTCCCTCCTTTCCCTCCATCCCTCTCCTTCTCCCTCCTTTCCCTCCATCCCTCTCCTTCTCCCTCCTTTCCCTCCATCCCTCTCCTTCTCCCTCCTTTCCCTCCATCCCTCTCCTTCTCCCTCCTTTCCCTCCATCCCTCTCCTTCTCCCTCCTTTCCCTCCATCCCTCTCCTTCTCCCTCCTTTCCCTCCATCCCTCTCCTTCTCCCTCCTTTCCCTCCATCCCTCTCCTTCTCCCTCCTTTCCCTCCATCCCTCTCCTTCTCCCTCCTTTCCCTCCATCCCTCTCCTTCTCCCTCCTTTCCCTCCATCCCTCTCCTTCTCCCTCCTTTCCCTCCATCCCTCTCCTTCTCCCTCCTTTCCCTCCATCCCTCTCCTTCTCCCTCCTTTCCCTCCATCCCTCTCCTTCTCCCTCCTTTCCCTCCATCCCTCTCCTTCTCCCTCCTTTCCCTCCATCCCTCTCCTTCTCCCTCCTTTCCCTCCATCCCTCTCCTTCTCCCTCCTTTCCCTCCATCCCTCTCCTTCTCCCTCCTTTCCCTCCATCCCTCTCCTTCTCCCTCCTTTCCCTCCATCCCTCTCCTTCTCCCTCCTTTCCCTCCATCCCTCTCCTTCTCCCTCCTTTCCCTCCATCCCTCTCCTTCTCCCTCCTTTCCCTCCATCCCTCTCCTTCTCCCTCCTTTCCCTCCATCCCTCTCCTTCTCCCTCCTTTCCCTCCATCCCTCTCCTTCTCCCTCCTTTCCCTCCATCCCTCTCCTTCTCCCTCCTTTCCCTCCATCCCTCTCCTTCTCCCTCCTTTCCCTCCATCCCTCTCCTTCTCCCTCCTTTCCCTCCATCCCTCTCCTTCTCCCTCCTTTCCCTCCATCCCTCTCCTTCTCCCTCCTTTCCCTCCATCCCTCTCCTTCTCCCTCCTTTCCCTCCATCCCTCTCCTTCTCCCTCCTTTCCCTCCATCCCTCTCCTTCTCCCTCCTTTCCCTCCATCCCTCTCCTTCTCCCTCCTTTCCCTCCATCCCTCTCCTTCCTTCCCTCCTTTCCCCATCCGTCTCCCTCCCTCCCCTTCCCCTCCCTCTCTCTCTTACCGCGCCTTCAGCAGCTTAGGATGAAACAATCCTTCCTTCCCTATCTCTCCCTCTCCACTCCCTCCCTCTCCCTCCATCCCTCTCCTTCTCCCTCCCCATCCTCTCCCTCACCTACTCTCCTCCCTTCCCTTCATCCCTATCCTCCTCCCTCCACTCCCTTTCCCTCTCCTCCTCCCTCCTTTCCCTCTCCTCCCTCCTTTCCCTCCATCCCCCTCCCACCCCCACCCCACCCCTCTCCTCCCTCCCCATCCCCCCCTCTCCTTCTCCCCCCCCTCCCCCATCCCCCCCCTTTCCCCCCTTCCCCCATCCCTCACCTCGCCTTCAGCTTGGGATGGAAGACATAATCCTTCATGTCCTGCAGGAGCTGTTCCCTCTGCTGGTCCAAGATGCCGGCGATGATGCTCTCGGTGCTGTTCTCCTTCCTCCCTTCATCGCCCGTTGCTTCCTCTTCCTCTTCTTCCTCCTCCTCTTCTTCTTCCTCTTCTTCTACTTGTTGTTCTCCTCCTCCTCCTCCTTCTTCTTCTTGGCGTTCCTCTGCTGTTGGACGAAAGAGAGGAGAGGGGAGTTAGTGATGGCGTGTGGGACGAGGGTGAGGGGAATGGAAGAAGGGAAGTGGTGATGATGGTGGTGAGTGGAGAGTTATGGTGGTGATGGTGATGGTGACGGTGGTGATAATGGTGATGTTGGTGGTGATGATGGTGATGTTGGTGAGTGGAGAATTATGATGATGGTGGTGGTGATGATGATGTTGGTGGTGGATAATTATGGTGGTGACGGTGGTGGTGATGATGATGATGGTGGTGATGGTGACGGTGGTGGTGATGACGTTGGTGTTGGTGGACGAGAGACAGTAATGGCAGTGATTGGTGGTGATGGTGACGATGGTGGGAGTAGAAGTGGGATAATAATGGTGGTGATGTTGGTGGTGACTGAAGGAGAATTATAATGGTGATAGTGGTCGTGAATGTTTAGCTTACCAATCACAAAGATGAGAATCAGGATAATGAAGTCACAAAAGCAAGCAATGATTTCTTTAAAAAATCATACTACGGAAAAAAATACAACAGAAAAGAAAACCCAAAAAAAGAAACCAATAAAACCTTAAACACAAAAAGAAACATTCAAACCTAGAAAACAAACAAGAAAACAAGAATACACAAATAAAGAAAAATATTTGAAAAGATGAAACAAAACAAAAATAAACACTAAACTGATTCCTAACACATATTTTAACAATTCCTCTAGTTATTAATAATTCCTTTAATTCTTCACATTTCCTTTAATAATTCCTTTCGTTATAGATGCTTCCTTTAGTTCTCAACATTTCCTCTAATAATGACCTTACTTATTAATATTTCCTTTAATTCTTAACGATTCCTTTAATGATCCCTTCAATTCTATAAAAATCCACCAATAATTCCATTAGTTATTAATATTTCCTTTAATTCTTAAACATTTCCTTTCAAAATCCCTCTAGTTATTACCGTTTTCTTTCAAAAATTCCTCTTAGTTACTTCCATTTCTTTAAAAAAAATCCCTCTAGTTACAACCAATTCCTTCAAAAAATCCCTTTACTTACTACCATTCCCTTAAAAAATCCCTCCAATTACTCCCATTCCCTTAAAAAATCCCTCCAATAACTCCCATTTCCTTCAAAAAATCCCTCCATTTTACCCCCATTCCCTCAAAAAATCCCTCTAAATACTCCCATTTCCCTTCAACATTTCCTTTCGTCACTAATATCCCTCTGGTCGCGTGTCCTCCGCTGCTCACTCACCATTAGGAGGCGCTTTCTGTGGCGGCTGTGGCGCTGTGTCCCCCGGGGCTGTGTACTCTGGGCTCTGGTAGTCCTGTGGGAGGAAAAAAAAGACAGGTGTAAATTATTATGGTATTTTATTATCATTATTTTAATACTTTATTATTATTGATATTATTAGAAAACTAGAAATATAAATTATTATTATTTTGAGAAAAATAAATATTATTATTATTTTTCATACTTTATTATTATTATTATCATCATTATTATTAATGGTCTATTATCATCATAAATATCATCTTTAATACTTTCTCATTCTCATTCTTATTATCATCATTAAACCTTTATCATCATTGCTATAATTATGCCCATCATCACTATCATTAGTTTTTTTTCTCTCTTTCAGTTGACAATTTTATTGTGTTGCGGGGGGGGGGGGGGATTCCTATCATTTTGTATGTTATTTGGAAAATTCTAATCCATTTTTTCCTCTTCCCCCTTTCCTCCTCGTTCATTATTGCTACTTATTATCATTACAACTACTATTATCATGAACATCATGATTAACATTATTAGTAGTAGTTGTACCGCCTGTATTACTGTCATCACCATCATTACTATTGTAATATCAATATTATTTACCCAGAGATAGATAAACTGATAGACACACACGAGAGAAAACTACGTATTTGCAAATCGACATAAAAAGCGGCCCGTCATCAAAGTGCCATTCAGCAAGGGATTTTTTTTTTTAATGACGGAAATGAATGGAAACATCTCAATGGCCCCGAAAATTCGACGTGAATCATTTCCACACCATTTCTCACTCAAATGTGCTGATGAGTGATTTTTGTAAGTTTCACACTGGTTACATGTGCGCGCGACACAAACTACATATACATATATATATACATATATATATATATATATATATATATATATATATATATATATGAATAAATATATATAAACATATATATAGTATATATATTATTATTATATATATATATATATCGACAGATAGATCGATAGATAGATATTATAAATATATGGTTGGTGGCGCCAATCACGGGTAATCAAAATACGCATAGTTAATGTCAAAAGTCAAATATATGCTATACAATTAACGAAGAAATAAAACAGTAAAAAAAAATAATGAGGCTTCGCAGGGTTAGGAAAGCGAGCAGAGACAACTAACACGTGTTAGGTTCTGCATTTTGTTCGATTAATGGGAAATGAAACTGACAAAGGCAGGTAGAGAGGGAGAGAGGGAGAGAAAGAGGGAGAGAGAGGGAGAGAGAGAGGGAGAGAGAGAGGGAGAGAGAGAGGGAGAGGGAGAGAGAGAGAGAGAGAGAGAGAGAGAGAGAGAGAGAGAGAGAGAGAGAGAGAGAGAGAGAGAGAGAGAGAGAGAGAGAGAGAGGGAGAGGGAGAGAGAGAGAGAGAGAATGAGAGAATGAGAGAATGAGAGAGAGAGTGAGAA